ATAAAATAGTATCGATTTTTCAAAATGTAAAACCAAATCTAACCAAATCAAATCAAATAGTTGTTGTTTTCATTGATTTGATTCGAATTGCGGTTCAATTTGATATTTAATCATAACAACCATGAACAACCCTACCGGTAAATATTAACATATATGAAAATTTCATTTATTTTCTACAAATGGCATACATCCCAAGTAAATATCATGTTGAGTTTATCATTTATATAATTTTAAAAAAAGAAAATTAATTTTATTTTTCTATTTGTTTTCTAAAGAAAGTTATAAATTTAAAGTAAAATATTATTATTTTTATTTAAATATTGAGTTGATCGTTTTATATTTTTTTTAAAAAAATGAATGAAGTTGGAGTTACTTAATTTTAAAAATAAAAATAATAAAATATTAAGGAGTTATATTTTATATCATGATAATAAAGCTCTTAAATTTGTTTGTAATTATCTCTAATTCTCGCTTAACCTTTTGGTATTTAAATATACGTATTTCTTTAAATATTATTAGAGTCGTATAATTTTACAAATCATTTTTTATTCTCTCTTCAGCTATCGCTCAACTTGCATTTTCTATGGGCATCACGGGTAAATCACCATTCAGCTTCTTATGAATAATATTAGGATGAGTTGGCTCATCCTCAGAATTCCAAAAAAAAAAGGCAAAACAAAGCCATTATATTTTCGTGACGCATCTACTCGACTTGTAAGTTCTCCAATTATTTCTATCACAACCTTAGTAGTCAAAAGTTGATATCTCATTCTAACTCAAGATTCTTATGATTCTTGAGTGCAGGAGAATCATGAATTGAGTTTTTTTTTTTGACTCTTTGATCTCATAAAAGAACGGTGATTTTCTTTTCGAGCGATTTCAGTAAGTATCATTGGTACAAATCCATTTATTAATTTATTTATTGATATTTTTATCTATAGTTAAAATCTCAAGCTAAGATTTTCGTCATTCTTGAGTAGAGGAGAAACAAGAATAGAAGGTTTTTGTCGGTTCGTTGATCTAAATATGGATAGTAATTTTCTTTTGCGGTGATTTTAGTAAATATTAGTTGTACATATCAATTTTATTAATTAAATGATTGATATTTTTATGCAAAATTGAAATCTAATTTTTACTTAAGATTCTTGTGAATCTTTAGTGTAGGAGAATAATAAACAGACGGTTTCTGCCCACTCTTTCAATCTTAGAAATGGATAACAATTTTTCATTAGCTGAGAGACTAGTGGTTGCAACAGTAGGGTAAGAGATAAAGGAGGAAAGGGTGGTGATGAATACAAAGAATCCGCAAGAAGAAGAGATGGATACAAAGAAACCTCAAGAAGTGGAGGTTAATATGAATTTCTCATTCTCAAAGAGGGAAAATAATAATCTGTTGATTAGAGTGAACATCTTGGATACCATGCAAGGACTCACACCAACCAAATTTTGGCCTTCTCCTCGCACTAGGACTGTTTTCATACTGGTTTTTCATAGGGGGAACTAATGAAGGATATGTCTAAGAGAACCTTGGTTGAGAATATGAGGGAAGAGGCAGAGAGAAACATGGGTGAGACGGTAGGGGAAGATATGAAAGAGGAGGGGATGCAAGTGGTAGAGGTGGATATCAATTTGTCATCGGCAGAAGGCGCAATGGGGGTGGGGGGGAGACAAAGGAGGACCGGTCGTAGGTGGATATTGATTTCGCACCTGCGAAGGGAATGATGACAGGGAAGGTGGATGAAGAGATGAAAGAGGAGGGGGCGGGTGTGAATATAAATAATCTGGCAAAGGAGGATCGCTCTGGAAATCATTCACCTTGTAACTCCAATCCTGCATGAATTGGGACAACGGTGGTGAATGATAGATTGTCATACACATACCAAAGTGTCCCTCGTCTACTTTTTCCAGGGTCGTCTCAATTCGTTCGGGGTGATCCCTATCCACGTACATGAGATCTTTTCATTTTGGGTTAGTTCACTCACACAGCAACTTGTTTAAATTCAGCGATTATGAGTGGGTTGAATGATAAAAAGTGAAGTTCTTGAAGAAAATTGTTGCATGCCTAGAGTTGATTTGATTCGTGTTTCCAGGTTTGTTTTTGAGTCAAATGTGTTCGGTAACCTTGGACGTTAAGAGGCTTTGGAGTTTAAAAATGGATAATAAAAGTCGAGAAAGCCTGTTTGTAGGGCCTTGGGTCACTGCGCCTCTTATATCCCCACAGGATAATCTCTGTCCATATTGGGGAGCTGCGCTAGCCAGAACGCCCCAACTTGGCTTCTGAAGTTTGGGGCCTGGTTCTCCACATCTCTCAGCGTGCCAAGGACGCCAGTTCACCCCATTCTTTCTCCATCTTTTCGTAAAAGTTCCTAAGTAATGTACCCATGTTTCTTAGTTGATTCCAAAACTCTAAGGCACATCTAAACATTATGAGATCATCCATAAACATGAGGTCATGCACCTTGAATCCATAATCCAATTCAAGGAATGTTAAGATCAAAGTCAAAGAAGTTAAGAGTCAAGTCTAGAAGTTAAGAAACAAGTTAAGGTAAAGTTCTTAAGAGTTCTCAAGGGTCTTTAACAACTTTCTAACTTTATTTTAAGATTCAAGGAGTATTTCAAAAGAGTTGATTTAAGACTCAAGTTTCAAGCTAAGTAAAGAGTAAGGAGTTGCGTTCATTTCTCAAAAGTTATAAGCGAACTAAGTGTTCCCTAAGAGTCTATAAATGTTTTTTGACATTTAATATAAGAGGAAACTAAGATTCCCAAAAGAGTTTTGAGTAAGAAAATTGAACATTTATTTCAAGAAAGCTTTCTAAAGCTAAGTGTTGAGCAGTTATATCAACCCAAATAAGGAACTTATTTTTTAAAGCACCTAAATAAGTAAATTTTTTGGATTAGTATTGGACACCGATATGGGAATGTGATTTCATAATAACTCAAGTATCTATAAATCATGTATCCATCTTGGTATTAATGAGTCATACCTTTTATATTATTGATCCTGGGTATATTTACACGCTCATAACGCTATTTATACTGACATGATAGCTTGGTTTGAAGCTTATGAGTATAGATTAAGTGTATTATTTAATACATTCTGGATTTCCAAACTAACTAACATGATGAGCTTTGCAGGAAGGTGAGGTGAAAGAGACATGCATTAAAAAGAGCAAATAGAGGCAACGAGGAAATCTAAGGACGAAAAAAAGAAAAGTGAAGTGAGGAAATGCAACAAAAGCATGTTCATGTCAGCCTCGCGACACGTAGAAGGGAATAAAATCTTGAGAGGGAAGTAAATTCTCAAACAGTGGACTTCGTGTCAGCTCCGCGTCGCACAATTGAACGCCAAAGATTAATTGATTAATAGATCTTGAGACAAAGCACTGCGTTCCAGGTCCGCGTCGCGCGATGCACAAGCCAAAATTGGATATTAAGAATTTAGTATAAATAGGGACTTAATGTAATTTTATAATTGTTCTTTTTCCAATTTTCGAAAGGGAGGAATCAAGAACGAGATTTGGAAGTTTTTAGGTTTACTTTTTACTTCTTCTTTTCTAGTACTTCTTTAGAATGTTTTAAAAATTATGAATATTGTTTTAAGGATTATGAGTAGCTATATACCCTAGTTCAAGGTTTTTGGCTACAGGATGACTGAAGTTTCCTTAATTTTTTAAGGGTTTATCAAGAATTATCTATGATTCGTTCTTACTTTCTTGTTTTTTGTATTTCATGACTGACCGCGATAGAAATAAATCCCTTGTCCAAATTGAACTCGTAGAGTAATAAGAGGATAGAACATGGAAATTAAGAAGTTTGGTTGACTCTAAATAGAGAGTTTGATTCATTTCTAGGATAGATATATGCCTAGCGACCTTACTTGGATCATCATACATGAAGATAACATAGTGCTCAACTTTTATTCATCTTATCCCCCGCTCAACGATGTAGTTAAGGTTGTAATTGTTGTATGCGATTAGAGGTCGAGAGACTATGATGATACATCTAACTCTGTGGTTCAGCGATGAGATAACATCATAAAACCTTTATTATATGACAACAACTTCATAAGTACTAATAAAAGCTACAACCCTAGAATTCTCCCATAATAATTGTCACAAGATAATAAATTGAATCACTGTAGTCAGTTTTAGTTAGATATAAATTTTAATACTGCTATTTATAAAGCATAGACATTGCACTTGTTTGGTGTTGAGAATTTGGAAAGTTAATAGAGTCTACTTGGTGGTCCCTGTGGGCAGGAACCCGGATCCTTAACAAGATCCATTATATTGCATGTACGCTCACGTGCACTTGCGTGTGCGATTAGACCACAACAAGTTTTTGGCGCCACTGCCGAGGATTGCAGTATTTAGAAGACATTTAATTTCTATTTCTAAAAGCCAATCACAAGTGTTGGCAACTTGATCTTAGCATTTCATTATTGCAGGTGTTTAGATACTCCAAAACTGGTCGACGATCGTGACCCGTTGTCAATGCTCTCACAACCTGAAAGATTCATACATAGGAAACTGAGACAAGCAGAGCATTGAATTCCTATAGAGTTTGGGGAATCATCAACTCCAGTTCAAAAAACTGAAGAACGAGAGTTGACACATGAAACAATGGCTGCTAATGAGATGAGAGTTAGAAATGTGGCAATCCCACGACCCACCAATGTGACTTCTTGTATTCAGAAACCTGAGGCTGGTGGATGATTTGAATTAAAACAGAGCATGGTACAGATCTTGCACTCAAATTGGCAATTTACTGGTCTCTCTCATGAGGACCCCACAGTTCACATTTAGAACTTTCTTGAGATTAGTGACACACATACTCCAACTGGAGTAAATAAATATTATGTGAGTCTTACCTTATTTCCCTTTTCTCTGTTGGGGGAAGCAAAGAGATAGCTGAATTCAGAGCCCGCTTACTCAATAACCACTTGGGATGATCTTGCCCATAAATTCCTCATTAGATTCTTCCCCTCTGGGAAGACCGCCAAGTTGAGAAGTGATATTCTTAGCTTTAGACAGAAAGGTGGTGAAAACATATACCAGGCCTAGGACAGGTTTAAATCAATGTTGATGACTTTCCCTCCTCATCACCAAGAAAATGAGGTTCTAGTGCACACTTTCATTGAGGGTTAAGAGCCTAACACGAAGATTCTGCAAGATTCAGTTGCAGGTGGACAAGCATTAGAGAAGACTTATTCTGAGATGTACACCTTAATGAATAGGATATCTTAGTGTAATCCGGAATTGAAAGGTAGTGGGTTAAAGCCAGTGGTACAGAAAAGCGTAGGGGTATTAGAGATTGATGATGTAATAGCTTTGACTAGTCAAATTTCAGCCATGCAAAACATGATTAATAATCACTTCAGTAATATTGCATTGGGGTAGCAAACTTCTCAAGTTAATGCAGTCCATAAAACACCAACTTGGTGTGAGATTTTTGGTGGGAGTGATCATATTGCTGATACTTGTGGTGCCAGTCCAGATTCAGTAAAATTTGTGGGTAATGAGCAAAGAGGAGGAGGCCAACAAAATCATGGGAACACCTACAACCCAAGTTGGTGTAATCACCCAAACTTCTCTTGGGGCGGAAATCAAAGTCAAGTTCAAGGTCAGAATCCGTACAGACTTCAGGGTAACACTCAAGGATATCAAGGGTAGATGAAAAGGGAGCAACCTAATCGACAATCTGGTAATATGAGTGTCGAAGAGATGTTAAAGAAAATCATGGCAGATCAAGCGCAATTAGTATCTCATGTGAGAAATAATCAGTTAGATACCTAGAATTTGGAAAAGAAATTTGGGTAATTTGCTAATGCCCAAAATTCTAGACCACAAAGAGGGTTGCCTGGCAACATCCTAAATAGGTCAATGCATTATATCCAAAGAAAAATGTTATCGAAGTGGTGAGTAAAGATGGTGAAACAACGGAGGGTGTGCCCCAGAACTAGGAAGAAGTGGCACCTGCAGAAATGGGGCAACAAATAGTAAGACCACCTCCTCCATTCCCTCAGAAGTTCAAGAAGAAAAAATAGGATGAATGCTTTGGTAAGTTTTTATCTTTGTTAAAACAAGTTCATATAAACTTGCCTTTGGTAGATGTTTTGCAAGGTATACCCAGGTATGCGAAATATGTCAAAGAAATTGTATCAAATAAAAGGAGATTTTTTGAATACGAGATAGTTGCACTTACTGAAGAGTCTAGATCCAGGATTTAGAACAGGTTACCCATGAAGCTAAAAGATCCGGGTAGCTTTACGATACATATTACCATTGGCCAGAGTATCCATGCGCGAGGTTTGTGTGATTTGGGGGATAGCATTAATTTAATGCCAACTTAGTTGTATAAGAAATGGGGGTTGGGCAGTCCTAATCCAACCACTGTAATTTTACAATTGGCTGATAGATCTGTGGCCAGACCTGAAGGAGTTGTAGAAGATGTACTAGTGCAAGTGGGATCTTTTATTTTCCCAGTGGATTTTGTGGTATTGAATTTTAAGCTAGAGCCTGAGTTCCATTCATCTTAGGTGCCCATTTTTGACCACTGGGAAAGCAATGATTGATGTAGCTACTGTTCAACTTTCTATGAGAGCTCACGATAAGGTAGAGTGTATAAGGAGTTATCTGCCATCACTGTAGTAGATCTGGAGCTAGTTGGTAAGCGCATATTGGCTACAGAAACTCTTGAACGAGTAATGAGTGGTGATGAGATCTATGGAGATGCTGAGGCACTGGAAATTGTACAGATGTTAGACTTGGCATGATCGAAGAATTGGGAAGAAGACGGGAACCATTGAACAGAGTATTAGGGCCTCTACCTAAGCCTTCCAAATAAAGAAACTCCTAAGTTAGAATTGAAAGACCTGCCAGCACATCTAAGGTATGCATTTTTAGGTGTAAATGATACTTTACCTGTTATTTGGTCTGCAACATTATCTGATGAATAGGTGGAAGCAGTATTGTTGATTCTGGAGAAGCGCAAGGTAGCAGTAGGATGGAAGATGTCCGATATCCAAGGTATAAGTTCAGCTTTGTACATGCATAAGATCAACATGGAGGATGGTTATAAAAAAAGTGCTCAACAGCAGCGAAGATTAAATCCTTTAATGAAGGATATGGTTAGAAAAGAGGTAATCAAGTGGTTAGATGCAGGGATGATGTATCCAATATCGGATAGTAAATGGGTGAGTCCAGTGCAGTGTACCCAAGAAAGGTGGGATGATTGTAGTAACCGAAGAAAAAAATGAATCGATCCCCACAGGAAGTGTCAGGGTGGTGAATATGCATGTAATATAGGAAGTTAAATAAAGCCACCAGAAAGGATCATTATCCGGTTCCTTTCATTTACCAAATGTTGGACAGATTGGCAGGTCAATACTATTGCGTTCTTGATGGACACTAAGGGTATAACCAGATTGAAATTGCACCTTAGGACCAAGAAAAGACAGCATTTACATGCCCTTATGGTACCTATGCCTTCAAACGCATGCCATTCGGGTTATGTAATGCTCAAGCTAGTTTTCAGAGATGCATGATGGCAATCTTTCACGATATGGTGGATGATTTTGTGGAAGTATTTATGGATGAATTCTCAGTGTTTGGTGAGTCCTTTGTGCTATGCTTGTTAAATCTTGACAGATTTTTAGCTAGATGTAAAGAAACCAATCTAGTTTTAAATTGGGAAAAGTGCCATTTCTTGGTGATGGAAGGAATTGTGTAGGGTCACAAGGTATCGAAGAATGGGCTAGAGGTGGACAAATCCAAGATTGAAGTAATTGAGAAATTACCACCTCCAGTATCAGTTAAAGGGGTTAGAAGCTTTTTGGGCCATGGAAGTTTCAATAGAATGTTCATTAAAGATTTATCTAAGACTACAAAACCCATGGTGCAGTCTATTAGAGAAGGAGGTGAAATTCAAGTTTGATAAGAACTGTTTAGAGGCCTTCGAAGTGTTGAAAGAAAAGTTAATCGAAGCCCCTATCGTTGTAGCCTTAAATTTGGATTTTTCATTTGAATTGATGTGTGACACAAGTGATATTGTAGTTAGAGCAGTGTTGGGACAAAAACGAAATAAAGTGTTTCACTCTATATACTATGCGAGTAAGACACTAGATGCAGCCCAAGCAAACTACGCCGTAACTGGGAAAGAAATGTTGGCTTTAGTGTTTGCATTTGAAAAATTTAGGTCATATCTTGTGGGAACAAAGGTGATAGTCTATACTTACCATGCAACCATCAAATATATACATAGACCCTTCGTATAGGAAGGTTACATAGCCTTCTACTTTTATTGAACATAAGTATATATATCTATATATATCTATATCTATACATACATACATACATATATATAAATATATATATATATATATATATATATATATATATATATATATGTATGTATGTATACACACACACACACACATATATATACACACACACACACACACACACACACATATATATAGATATAGATATAAGATAGAAAATAGTCTTCAAAGATTGTCTCATTTCATAACAATCTAACACGATTAGGAATTTGGGCATAACCCATACATCAATGTAAAGATAGGCGCATATAGGCTTTATTTAATCCGTACTCAAATGCAAAAGGATAGAATGTAAGAGTCTTAAAACTAAAACAACATAAGCTCGATATTGGCATCGCCCTCGGACAATGAGGAGCTACCCCTACTTGGATGATCAATTATCCAAGCCTTCTTGAAGTCACCTTCCAGAACACTTCAACGACCGGAACCTAAAATGTGTAGGAAAAAAAGGAAGAAATGGGGTTAGTACGCCACTTGTACCAAGTATGAGACCATATGCACACATACTTTGCAATCATGCCAATGAGGAGGGACATTTATCAAAACATGTCATTTTATTCTATGAAAAGCCTTATGTATAATCAAGGAAAGTCATACAAATTAACAAGTCATATTCATCAAGTCAAAACAAATAACATCTTGTCAACATACTTTAGCCCAAAAACCAATATAACGCTACCATCAAGTAATTACATCACAAGCATGGATAAGAATTCATCATATCATGATAAAGCAAGAATACTACCCATGAATCCTCATAAATATAACAAATGCAATAACTAAGAAAAGCCCCATAACCTTACTCAATACAGTGACCCAACAAGAACCATGGCTAATATTCGACTTTACATTGCATAACCTTTTTAAGGATATATAACATCATACTTTTAACAAGTAGGCCAATTACATGCTCATAAGAGTATCAATCACCATATAGTACATTTATATGTAAAGTCATCATACTATCATATTTTGCATTCATTATCATATACATACATAATATCAACTTTCTAAAGCTTCCATCAAGGAACACTAGTGCAAGGCATAGGGTGAGTCCCATACCCCTACCTAGGCTAAGTCAAACCTCCCAAGTCACTTTAGTTAGTTCATCTTCATTTATTTATTTTAATTTTGGGAACACTTTCCTTAACCAACATAGACCACATGACCTAAGTGTGGAATCCGGTGTTGTAAAACCTTACACTGATGGAAGGAGGTCTATCGGCCAAAGTAAAACCAAACATAAACATCACTTTCTAGGTGGATCCACTAGCTAATCTTCCTATGGGGGTGACATAGTTCAAGAACTAAGAGATAGGTATTCACCCTCTACATACCACTTGGAAATCGGGGCCTCCTCTCATGGGAATCCATTGGATGAGTACACCTCTTTGGAGAAGTCAACACCACATTAGAACCATAGGGTGAATCTTCCTCTATGGAAATTCATCACCACCCATTATCAAGTTTACTCGGTGCTAAGTAAGTCCCTTTATTGAAATGTCTTTAAGCCTTTATTATCAATCATAGCTTAGTTTAGGTCATAGGTTCTAACCCTTGTATAACATCATCATCATCATATATCAATTAGAATTCCATGAGTATAAGTCCTATCATTGCAATTTACATAAGTGAGGTTAGCATATTAACATTTTTACATCATAATAAGGCACATTGATAGTCATCACCATTCTTATAACATATACACCTTAATCAACCTCACAACATAGTCAAGACATTTAAATTAAACATCATACCACCCTATC